CGTTCCCGATCACGGTCGCGGTCCCGTTCACGATCCCGGTCACGGTCTCGTTCGCGGTCTCGATCACGGTCTCTAACATCCCGGTCCCTGTCTCGATTATCGTAGCGGTCTCTGTTTTCAATACGGTCACGTTCTCTGCTTTCAACACGATCTTTCTCTCGTTCGCGTACATCATTACGGTCCTTGTCTCTATTATCTATACGATCTCTATTTTCGGCACGTTCTCGGTCCCTGATATCACCTCTGTCCTTTTCTCTCCCTTCTTGTTCCCTATCCCTATCCCTATTGTCATTGCGGTCTCGGTCAGGCATCCTATCGGGTCGGTCACGCGTCTCTTTGGACTGCATGGACGCAGGTGCGTCCCGATGTTGACGCCTCTGTTCTTCCTCTTTGCGCTGTCGAGCTCGAGCGACTGCCTGGGCCACTTCGTTGCTCTGTTTTTGACGTCGCTCCGCCCAAAGTTGGTCTTCGTCACCAGGTTCATGAAGCTTCATATCAACACGTTCACTGTCGACGCTGGCGCGGTTACCTCTATTATGTCCCTTATTAGGAGCGGAAGATTCACCATCCGAGAAGTCCAGCTTCTGACTGTAATGAGACATGAAGTACAATTAAAAAGTATAACAACATAACGTCACGCCATTTAATCTCCAAAGAGTAGTTAGTAGCACAGAGATTCACCAGTTATTTTGTGAAACATTTAATAAGAATTAGGGAGTGAGCCTTTAGCCACAATGATTACTGGGGGCGACATTGGTATCGACATTGGTATTGTGAAATTTCGTATTCTTGAGTTGCAACACTAGCGCCCATTACATCCGTATTGCGTGGATATTGAATGAACTAAATAGTTTTTTTTTTGGGGGGGTAAATCATCGAATGACTGCTGCCACCTGGGCGAGGCGAGGGAGTGTCAGATCCTTACTGACTAAAAACCACCCCGTTCCTTCCTCTGCCACTCCTCAAAGAGGGGACTTACCGCTGCAATGGCAACAAGCCCAAACTAAATAGTATTGAGTTTAGTTTTATATTTCGTACTCTGAATGCTATTGTAACAGCTACAATTGTAGTTGTATAGTTTTGACATTGAATAATTATTGAGTTTTTATTGGATTGAAATTGCATTGACTTTGGAGATTGGTTTCAAGAGTAATGCACCCTGATTTCAGCTATGGGGAATTTTCAAGAAACTATAATTAATTTCGGGCAAGACTTACTCATAATCGATATCGTCTTGCTGCGCCCAGCCAGCATCTCGAGAAATATCATCAAGAGAAGAGATCTGATCGTCACGCAGGATCGGGCGTGCAGTGAGCACCTCGACGGCTCGCGGAGTGGCCGGTGCGCGCGGCGCCTGGCGCGGCGCGGCGCTGGCGCCTGCACCGCCGCCCGCACTGCCAGCGCCGCTGCTGCCGCCCCGGATGTCGCGCAGGGCGCCCAGCGTGCCCAGCCCGAGCCCGCCACCACTGCTACCTTTCATCTTTGAACAAAGGCAACATAGTTTAAAATTAACAATAAAAAACCTAATAACATTTAAAAAATAAAACATAAAAAATGATAACATACGAAAGATGGCAGAATAGATCTTGGGAGGCAGGCAGGACTCTGTTGTGAGGCAGGCGCGGAGACGGGTGCGGCGGCGGCGGATGTGGCTTCCTGGCGGACCCCCGCCGTGCCACCGCACGTCCAGCTGCCTTCCGCTGTAACAACATAATGGCAATGGTAAGGGATGATATAATGATTCACACCCAGGGATTGAACTCGACATTTATTCAGTAACAGTAAAATATAAATTAATGTGATGGTTCTAAAATTTTATTGATACCCTCATATTATTTCAAAATGTAAAATAACTTACTTTGTGGTCTCAATTGTGGTTGTGGTGCTGTATGTTCTGATGAGCGATGTGAAGGTTGAGCAGCTGCCTCTAGTGAGGGGAACTCTGTGCGGAAGTGTGGGGAGGACGGTGGTGGGAGTGCCACCCATCCTCCGGCTCCAGTCCCAGCAACCACACTGCTGTTCGATGTTGTGGACTGTGGAAAAACACTTACACATACACATTTTATAGTAATAAATGAACTTCAGGCATCACCATTATTTAGTTAGAGTTAAAATATATATTGATTTATTAAAAATATTAATTGAATGAACATCTGGCATCAATTGCATTGCAGCAGTCAATAACCTCTATAATCTATAAGAGTAATAAGAGAATAAATAACTATGTTAAGCCACCTGAGGAAACAATCCTTATGTCGAAATTCAAAGCAAAATGTAAAACATTAGTTACTTAGATTACTTACTGTAGTTTGGGAAGTACATGCTGAAGTTGTAGATACAGTAGTAGCAACAGCAGAAATAGAGCTGAAAATAAATTTATTGCTTCAGTAAGTACATGTCAATAGGTCAAAGAACTCATCACTGAATCATTCACCTCTACATAATATGTTATGTGAGGTTAAGGTTACTCCCACAGAAAGCTTGTCTTTTCTCTAGTTGCTTGGTATTTTTGTACAGGAATGTTGAGGTGGCAAGGTGCCCACTTAGCATTAGAATAGAAATAAAGAAAATCATTCAATGTTTCAAACAAATTCAAACATTTTTTTTTTCCCAATAAGAGTCCTGGCCAAAAACAACTGACTCAATACATTAAGGTTAGGGCATCACTTACTTTATATTAGGATCTTGACCAGTTTCAGTTTTCAAAGAAGGCAAGTTGGCAGGTGGACGCCTAGCTGAAGGTACTTTTCCAAGACTTTGCATTCCATGTTTGCGGCTTAGTTGAGATTTTACTGAGGACGGTTCAGAGTTCTCGTTCTACAATGAATTGAAACAAAGAAATAACAATTAATATTAAACTAAAATTATTATAAGAACAGGTATTTCACAATTTTTTCACAAACTAGGAAATAAATTAGTGTGAAAAAAATGGCTTAGGCACACAAAAAAACTGTATAACTTTTTACAGCAGATAATTTAAATACCTCATTTTCTTTGATCAAAAATCTCTGAAACAAGGTCATTGTCTATTCTACTGTTGCAACTAGATATGCACAAGGGAACTGAAGGTCAATTTATTCAACTGTGACTTGATTACAATTGTTGTATGGTATAACTAGCTTGCATTTTGTTAACAATGATCTTGGCTGAGAGAAACTTATATTTACACAATTTCTTATAATTTGACACAATATTAAAACAATGATAGCACTAATTGCTAGCGACCTAAAAGCCATTAAAATATTGATCTGTCGTAATTTAATGCGACAAATTAAAGTTACATTATGGTCAAGTCATTGATAATGCCTTGGTGGGCGTATGAATATTAAAAAAGGAAAGTATAAAAAGAAAACTACATACTCTGTTAGCGCAGTACAAGCTATTGATGTCCAACTTCTGATATCTTTGCTTGCCGGACGTCGGCTTGCTCTGCGCCGTAGTGCCTCCGCCGCCCGGCGTCGAGAGTGCAGACATGCTGCGATGTACACACCATCAGGAGGTCACCCTCGCACCGACCACCAACTGCAATTCGCCAAACCCTCACTGTAACGTAATGGCCACAATCCAAACGCAACTCACTGTTTCACAGGCAACTACCAAAGACAATCGTCCTTCAATGCAATAGAATGTAATATTGCTAGTAATGATTTGATATATTCAACAGAACAATATGTAAAATTCACACAATCTATTACATTCACTAATGCACAGAACACTTTCACAGCACTGAACAATAAATTGGAGCCCTGCCCTCAAAGGTTTATTGACGTGTTACATCCGTCTGATGTTCGCTGGATCGATGACTTCAATAATTTCACTTACGTTTTTAAATGCACTATACAATCCGTTATACTTTTATAACTTTCTGCTATCTAGCTCAAAATAACGGTACTAACAAGATCGAAGAAAAGAACGGTAAATAAACTAATTTTTATCTTTCTAGAAAACAATAAAATCAAAATACATCTGTACCTTGGTCCGTTACACTTGGTATCACGGAATAAAAAATATCTAAGCTCGATTGCTAATTTCTTAAAGAAGATTACTTTAGATTTAAACTATAATCTACGCTACCAAAAACTTATATCACTTTATTTTAAGATGGCGTCTCCAAAAGACGATCTCCTTCCTTTTTACAATCAATAGTGTGACGTCACAAAGACGCGACACAACGCTCTCTGGTGGATAAACAGCCAAAGCTTGACGATAAGTTTGCCAATGAAATAAATTAAATTCTGTACAAACTATATAGAAAACTCTATGAGAAACTATCTAGTTTTTGATGGGATATTTAAAAAAATTGGGGGTAGGTACATACTTCATTTTTTATAAGGGGGGTAAATCATCGAATGACTACTCCTGCCTGGGTGAGGCGGGAGGGAGTGTCAGACTCTTACTGACTAAAAACCATCCTGTTCCTTCTCCTGCACGTCGAGTCGGAGCCCCGGTTACCCGTTAGGTTCTCCGCGACTCCGAATCCGGTGGGTAGGTACTTCATTAGGGAAGAGAAATTTATATTTTTGGTTACAACACATTTTTAGCTAGTATAAGTTGATTCTATTCAACATTAGTCACATTTCATGTATTAAACATATCTACGTATAGTACTATTTTTTATTATGATTTATTAATGACCAAAACAAATTATTTCTATAACTTTCAGGATACTGTTATAGTATCTAAAAAAACTTTACCTATCTAGATAAAGTTTTCTATTTAGGTTTCCCCAGTCGATACAGGGACATCGACTAAACTATCGTCAGAAAGACTTCTTATGGAAACAAGTTTATCATTACCTACACATTTTATTAATTTTCTATTGGTTTTTATTACAAGGTTTTACCTAAAAAATATATACCACAACTACTCTAACCCATTTAGTTGTTATTTACTTGTAAAATACGTTTCTGTTCTTATACAATTTTCTTTACTTACGCCTGCGCACTAAAACTTTGCACCATATTGATGAAAGGAAATCAGTAGGCGAGGATCTGCGGAGAAGCTCATAATACTAGGGGTGTTTGAGAAAACCGGCAGCCATGGCCGGGAATATGGGAATGGAACAATTGATTCCAATTGTTAACAAATTACAAGATGCTTTCACCCAGCTGGGTGTTCATATGCAGCTGGATTTACCCCAAATAGCTGTTGTGGGTGGACAGTCTGCTGGCAAGAGCTCCGTGTTAGAAAACTTTGTGGGCAGGTAAGTGGCTAACTGCGTATAAATTAAACGTAGGTATTAAAATTTTATTCATTTGGTGAAACGAGAAGAAAATTCTACTTATTTGTATACTACAGAAAATATACTTTTAATGTGATCTTTAGTAACTAAGTTTATTTTGGTCTATATAAATAGAAATTTTCGTATTACGTAAGTTTGAGCTATGAAGTAAAACCACAAAAACAAAAGTACCTAAATTGAAAATACGAGCAAATTAATGCACATAGAGATCAAATAAATAATTGTTAGTAATACATAAATCAATCGATATGCTACGTTCCAGTTAAAAGTATTTACGTATCCAACATTCTGTTATAATTTAAATGAAAGCTTTTAAACATAAAAGCTTTCATCATTACATAAAGTAAGTATTTAAAAATCACACCAAAATATAATAGTAAAGTGACTTTAACAGGAACCTTATATTTACTGTTGGCAACCTAATATTTCCCACTTTATGCGTTTAATTATTCTTTACGGTTAATTTACACAATTGAAGTGTTTGTCTGTTTGATTTAGATTCAAACATTATTATCATCTTCTACGAAAATATTATGTCGACATATTTTTTTATCCTGGCCTAGATTTAGTGCGCATGTCGAGCAGTATTGATTTACTAATGCTTAAATGTCAATGGTTGCGTAGGGTAAATTTAAAAGAATATATCGATATAATTCATTAAGCGTTAAATATTTTATTATTTTAATAGGTATTGATAATTTAGAAATATATTCTCATTTTTTTAAGAATACAAGTCAAAAGAACTGCTTGCCTAGGATGCTAAACATTGAGGACTAACTTATAGCCATCTCATGTTTTAATAGTGGCATTCGTTGAACGAACAGAGATAGAGAATGTTTTGAAAGAAACTCCAATACGCTTTCGTAATTTTTGACAGTAGTTGAATCAAGCTGAATCGAAACGTAACGTAACCACCCACCACCATATTGAAAAATAAATTAGTTTATCGATGATGAATTGATGATGAGCAAGTGTTATTAGTGTTTTTGAGTGATAAAAGTTTAATGTATCATAGAAAAAATGGCTGGAAATTTCGGAATGCAGCAGCTAATCCCCATTGTAAACAAATTGCAAGATGCATTTGTGCAAATGGGCGTGCACATGTCTTTAGATCTTCCCCAAATTGCAGTTGTGGGTGGTCAGTCCGCAGGAAAGAGTTCGGTGTTAGAAAACTTTGTAGGCAGGTAAGATATCGAATCGTCGGAAATTGTGTTGTTCTATGTAATTAATTTTACAATACTGAAGATGTTGGAAGTATGTAACACCTTCTTTGTTTATTGTAAAGACAATCGACTTATGTGTCTAATGTATGGTTCGGTCAGCAGGGAATCTCACTTCCTTGGTGCATACATTTCGCCTCTTTGTAGTATATGAGTAAAGTAAGATTTCACTGTAATCAATTAATTATTTATTTAAGTAGTTGGTTGTGGTGACTCATACATAGGTAACCTTCCCAAACAACAATAATAAAACCTTTGTGAAATTAGAATTCTCTGTGTTTCTTTTATGAACTGTTTTTATATCTATAAAACTACTATTATTATCTTGGTTTGTAAACCTGTAAAATTACTTAAGTAAAAATTTAGAGATTATAATTTATTGACATTAGTTTTTTGTTTAGATGATTCAGTGATTATGGGATAAATTTCACTTAATTATGAAATTTTAAAATATTCAACTATAAATATATGTATAAAGACACAGTTAATCAACTAACAAACAAGTATTCCCAAGAAGAATTGGTATCAATGTTGAGTGCAGTGCAGCAGTCTTATACAAATTGGAAAGTAAAAGAGATTCAAGCTCCTAAGGATGTTCACTAACTTGAAAATTATATCTATAATGTAACAATTCTTAGTACAATTCTTTTGGCTACATAAATTAGAATCTCATTATATTTATGGAACACAGCATTTGGCTTGTATCATATCTTAAAGGAAAAGGAAAAAGATAAGAAAAATGCTTAAAATGAACTGTAGTCCATTAAAAATTACATGCTACAAACAATCAGCTGGTGTTTCTGATAAGAAGTTACAAAAAATCCTATCTATATAATATACAAAATTTGTTTCAGTTCTCAGTTGTCCTACATTTTTGTTAAGTCTGATAACTGACCTAATCAATATTGTTTTGCTTGTATCTATATAATCAGTTATTTGCCCGGAGCTGATATTGTGAATATGAACCTAATGGCCAATTTTACCAACCACTCCTAAGTCATCTCTTAATTAGTGTGACATAGCACCTAAACTAACCCATTACTTTTGCTGTTAGGTGTCACTTATAGTTTGGTGTAAACCAAAACATTGTTAAATACCACCTATTTTAGCGTAGGGGTTCCATAAATTTAAGAAAGTTTAGTGAGACTAGTACAATGACTGGTGTCAATATCTTGTCTGGTTGTAGATTTGGATTCTACAAAACAGAATTTTAAAAAATGTTGTGGCTTCATATTTAACTTCTAAATTAAATTAATCAAAATAACTTCTGAATACAGTTCATGAAGGTGCATTGTAAGAAATTCAGTGAATGTATAGATCACTATATTCAACTGATAAAAGCATGCAATGTCATTCATTCTATCTGCCACAGTAGCAAAACTTGGCTGTTTATGGGTTCAGTGGCTAAATAATGCAGTTGAAATGATTAAAAAATGTTGTATTAAACTTAAAATGTAGGAATTTGATACATTATATTAACATTGGTTCCGATAAAAGTATAATTCATAATCTGCAGACAAAAATGAAATCAAAAATGTCTTACATTTGATATGTAACACACATAGAAAAGAAAAATATAATATAAAACACAATAGAAAAGTATCAATGGTAAGTAAGTATTATGTAATTCAACAAATTATAAATTAAAATTAGATAGTATGTATTTGTAACAGTTAATTAGTTATATCCAATGTCCTTAAATCAAAATCCTCTAGTTATTGTGTTTCAACCTGACTTATCTAAACACAAAAATGCTATAATGGTTTTTATTCTTTGCAACATTAAAATTCAGATTCCATAAACAAGAATGGAAAGGAAAACAGAATCAGAAACAACAAAACAGATACAGTTAACCTATTTATATGTATTAATGATTATAAAATATTGTCTCCATTGTTTTTAATATCAATAATATTTGTGTTTGAAATACCTGAAAAGGTAAACTAAATTTATTAAATTACCATGTTGTGTCACAACACAGTTATAGAGGAAAAATAAACTCATGATTGTGTTCTACCAGTTTATGATATGATTCAAATGTTTGTATTAATTTATCATAATGTCATACTCAACAGATTATAACACAACAAATTCATTTTCTCAGTCAGTATTGATCTCTAATGTCTAAAATGAACTATGAATTGGGCCCAACGGGGCTAATGTCGATACGAGGATTTAACAAGTTGCTGGGCCCCTGGCTCGAAGTGCCGGGTGGTTTTTAGTCAGTAAGACCTTGACACTCCCTCCCGCCTCAAGGCGGGAGAAGTCATTCGATGATTACCCCCTTAAAAAAAATAAATCTCTAAAATGAAATGTTTAGTAATCCTATCTTATTACTTTTTCCATAATCTGAATTCATTGTTTTATGTAGAAGCGCTATGATAATTTTAGTTTAAAATAAATTAAATGTGAATTTATTTAATTATTCCAGAATATTCTTAAATATATTAATATTTACACTTATCTTTATTGATTTAAACATTTTCTTTATTTTATTTATTTTTGACTTTTATTTATTTGTTAGGTATTTGAGACAAGTTTCTTCACAAATAAAAAATATACTTGTATGGAAACCTGTAAGTAAAGTAAGCAAATATTTGCTGTATATGATTTGCTATGTTAAAAATGTTTAGATTGAAATATTTCCTAATACATAGTTATCCTAGAAAATATAAGTAAACAAATCAAACATTGCATGGAACAAAATCTTAAATAGTTATTTTAGGAACTATTGTCCCTGGTCAGGTGTTTTGTTTAGAAAATTACTGTTATTATTTCATCTCTATGAGTCATTTATCACGGCAACTATGATCATATCTGGGTAAATTACGATGACATCAACTTCTTCATGTTTAATTTTCGATGTGAATTGTCTTCGGTTTTTTGGTTCTTAGAAACTACTTTGAAGCAGGAATTACTTTGAATGGTTAAAATACTATTGTTAGTTCCTATCAAACCAGTATTTTAGAGAAATAATTATCTTATTGTTGTTGTATTTGTTTCTATGGTTAATAGCCAGAAGAAGTCCACTTTTTTACAAAATTATTCTTGTTTCAGGGACTTTCTTCCTCGAGGCTCCGGAATAGTAACGCGGCGTCCATTGATCCTTCAGCTAATACATGGAAACACAGGTACTATATTTTTTTAGAACAATAAGTAACAATGTTTCTTCTTAGAGGAGTAATAACATTCACTACGTTATTTTATACTCAGCTAACAGGCTGTGATGTAGTTCATTATTGTGCAAAATGTGATCATTAACCTTCAGGCGTATTCAGAATGTTAAAACAACTAATTGGCTTACTAATAAACTCTATTACTGTTACGAGTTTGTCAAAATTCACAATGTAAATGTGTTAAGATGGCTCGTTGTATAGAACAATAAATTGCCGGTTTTGGTCAATGTAATGCTGTGATAGGCTCTGATATTTTTTCCCGGTCACGTATAGGTCACTAGCCTTCCGTTCCGCATGATCGGGACCTTACATTTCGTGGCATTCGTACTTAATGAATGATGACTTTTAGCCGTTATAAAAATAGATCACCGTTTCTATAAAAAAATGTTCTTAATGTTTTAATAGAGACTACATAGTATTCTGGACTTTGGAATGTATTCATTAAATGAAGCAGATGGTTAGTGATCACATGGTAGGTAGCCATCTGTCTTGACATGTACCAGATTTCATCCGATATTTTGCACGCTAAGAAGCCGTACATTTTTTGTATATAATAACTACTGTAAAGCGTGAGCGTATTTATGTATCCATAAGTTTACATATCCAATAGATTTATGAGTAAATAATTTACCCTGTGTTTTCTCATTTATCTCCCTAGAATATGCGGAGTTCTTGCATTGCAAAGGAAAGAAGTTTGTTGATTTCAATGAAGTACGTGCAGAGATTGAGGCAGAGACAGACCGTATCACTGGCTCTAACAAGGGCATATCACCAGTTCCTATTAATCTGCGTGTTTATTCCCCAAATGGTAAGTTGTATACTTGTATCCACATTTGTGGTATGTTAGCTTTTTTAATACATTTTAGGCCCGTCATGTACCGAGTGTGTTTGCTGCAATCTTTATCCTCTTTCTGGGAGATTAAAGCCGTGAGCGACAAGAGCATTAACTTGACCATATATTAAGTAATCTGAGACCATAAACCTCCATAATTATGTGTTCTACATATCAGGAGACGCACTCAAATTAAAATAGGTTGGAACCGGAAGCATCTTGACACGCATGCGTAACGTTATAGATTGTCAATTTTATGAAGTCATTGGCCGACGAATATGTGACACTTCGATAGCATATCTAGCAACAACGACAAAGCAGAGTATTGCCGCTTAAAATTCATGAATTTTGTGGGTATTGTATTAGGTATTTACTGAATGGAGTACACTTACGTCAGAGTACTGAAACGCTACACAATATTAAGCCTAATGTCGGCTCTGTCCTCAAGATCAAGATGTATTGTGGCGGCAGAAATTCTTGAAAGAACATCTTAAAGTCGAGTGGAGTATTGAAGCGTCATGAGATCAATAAAGCAAGGCCACGATGCTCACCTTTGACAGAGCTGAATAAGATCCCACTTAACAAAATGGGTATCTAATAGTACATTGGTTGTTGTGTGGCGCAGTTAAAAAGAGATAACTATTTTTATTACGATAAAACTCGTTTTAACGAAAATACTACAATTATTTTCAATTCATTGAAGCTTTGTTTCATACAAATTGTTCTACGTAGATTTCTATCTTATTCGTACAATCGACGGGTCTTTGTTTGACCAATTTATCATGTGTCACAGATATAAAAGATTCCCTAAGAATATATTGATAAAACTGTTCATCGATAGTGAATGTTATCAGTTTTTTCATCGCATATAAATGTACCACGTGAACCTGTTGTATGACAAAGATTTCTCTTGGTCATAAATAAATGAGTCAGTGTTAATCGCGCTCTAGATAAGACAATGGCCGCTTAATTGATAATGTTATATGACACACCCTTATCAATATGGAATTATGTTTTAATGTTCACTGGCTAAACTATAACTGAACGTTCATTCATAAGTTCACCCATGAATATTTCATTAAATATAATACTAGACCAATATATATTTCTTCCACTTCATATATGAAGAGAAAAAAAAAACGCCGAAGTAATGTTTTGCAATACACCTAGTAGTGATGCGTGTGCAGTCATCTTAATTATGCAATCTCTATTAAAACATTGCTCACTTGTTATTCCATACATAGTTTGATAATGACCTACATAACTAATGCTTCTTTAATGTCCAGTTGTTCTTCACCAATATAAACTCTACAATGGAATAATGTAAACATATGTGTAGACTGGAATTTGGTAGCTATTTACATTTACATACTGTACCAAAACAGTGCAAAGGATATTTTCAAATGAATGTTATGGTTACTAAATCAGTATGACGTTGTAAGTATAATGTATATGTTTTGTGACGAATCTTAAAAATAGTGTTTAACTGGTGAAATGTATAAAAAAATGTTTTATTTTTAAAGTCCTAATGTACTTATTTTAAACAGTGCAGCAATATACCCAAGCCTGTGACTTCCTTCTGCAATATACTCTTGCCTATAAACCTACAAAACACGAGTAATAATTACAGTAGCAACATAATATAGCAGTGATAATGATATTATACACACATACGTACCTATTGTGTGGCGAGAATTTAATCTAAAATGCATGAAGATTTATTTATTTATTTATGCACCTACACACATTTAGCACACAGAACAACACATTTATAGAACTAAAGTCATTGGAATATGTTTAAGTAAAATTGAAGTACATAGGAGGCACGAGTTATACCTAGTACACCATTAAATTTAAAGTATATACATGCGTGCATACAATATGCACTTGTAAATGTAAACATAATTATGCTACTTAGAGACTAGACTTAGAGCCTAATTTCATTTTTCATTAGGTCCACCTGGTGTCTTAGTTGCCCAACCATTTCATTGTCGATGACCAAATTGACGCTCGTGATTGTTCTGGTGACTCTTCATAAAGGTACGAGCAGTCGCGCAACCATAGAGAGACTATGGTTACAATAAGGACCAATGAAATGGGGCCTTTATGAAGAGCCGCATTATGTTTGTTGACCAAGTGCCTGTCATTACCCTTGGTTGACATGATGATTGTCAAGTTTGCCAAGAAGTCATCAAAGAATACACAGCATAAATCTTTCCTTATCTATCCTTATCATGCAATACAATATTATCTATTTAACTGATCGTTACAGCTCTCATGAAATGTTTGTTTTACTCTCTACTTACATGCTAAATGCGTTATAAAATTTGATGTTACGAAATGTTATGGCCCGAAGAATACAAAAGTTAAATCTACTATAATATTTATGTTGCCAATATTTTCATTCAAGGGTTCATGACTTTTTATCAAAGTCAATAAGCTGCAAATTTTATTATTATCTGTGTATTATTATTAAAAACATTTGATTTTGTTGTTAAACAGCAATGCTTATTATTACGCGATAACAATGACCTTGTGTTATTCATTAATAACAACATTTCGCGCCTCCTAACGTATGCAACTTACTCACTATTTATTTAAGAATCAGCAAGAAACAATATTTTGGTACGGACAGCGGGTTTATAGGTCAATTTACGCTGAATAACTATCTATGTCATACTTTCTGTCAGTGAACTTTAATGTGGTTTATGATATTTTATTGTAGGGACATTCATAATACATGTTTGCGGTTTTCCACATGCACAATTTCAGGATAAAGCATAGCTAAAAAGAGAATGTAGTCATTGAAAACGTGTGTAATTTTATTTCCAGTGCTCAACTTGACCCTGATTGATTTGCCGGGTCTGACTAAGGTGCCCATTGGTGACCAGCCGGTAGACATCGAACAACAAATCAAGGGAATGATCTTCCAGTTCATCAGACGGGAGTCCTGCCTCATCCTCGCCGTCACCCCCGCTAACACAGATTTGGCCAACAGCGATGCCTTGAAACTTGCAAAAGAAGTCGACCCTCAAGGCTAGTTCACTTACATTCATACTAAAATTGCAATCATAATTATGAGTCATTGTTTAGTAAACTTAAAACACCTAATACAGCTGAATAAGTTTGACGAATATGACGATGATTGACTTCTACGTAATGATGTCTGCAAGTCGTACAAATACATACAATATATGTAGGAGTTATAGGTAGCTTACTCGGTTATTTTGTCGGTGACTCATGTGCATTAGCTGAATAAGTACCTACAATTTAAAACGAACAAAATTATGAAACCCCTGCAGTTTGTCTGTGAAGTTCGTTCAACTTTTCATTGTAATATGCTTTTTATAACAGCAGCGGAGTACAATTTTCGGTACCTACTAACTCGCTAAATCCGGAGTCTCTAAATTTGAAGAACGCAAATATTTACGCTAAAAATATTTCGGTCTAACTGCAGGTCTTCGTACGATCGGTGTGATTACGAAGTTAGATTTGATGGATGAAGGCACGGATGCGCGAGATGTGCTCGAGAATAAGCTGCTACCTCTCCGACGCGGTTACATTGGTGTCGTCAACCGATCACAGAAGGACATTGATGGCCGCAAAGACATCACCGCTGCCTTGGCAGCCGAGAGGAAGTTCTTCCTTAGGTATGTATTTGACGCTAAAAACCAATTTTGAGACAGCAACCCAACGAGGAACTTTATAATTGGTTGTGAGTGATCAAAAATCCGCTCGTTCTACATTTATTTTAATAGTAATTTTAAGATAATTTAATAATAGGCCGAAAACCACAGTTGTCAATTAAGTAGAAATCACATTGTTATCATTATTACCTAGGAACTGGCTGTAATGACTCATATTTTCCTCAATGACGTACGGGTAATGAATACATCGAATTCGAGTGTAAACAACGACGTTGGGCTAACCAAGTGGTACTTGTATACTGTATGAGGAGTTGCAACATAGGTATATCTGACATAGACATATAGGTCGCTCTCGACTATCGGGCTGACCTACTTTCGTACGTCGATTGCATTTGTAATTTGCGAGAGAAGATAACCACTTATTTTATCGGCTTAGTAAATTAGTCTCTAAAAACATTTTTAATATTATTGTGTTACGTTATGCTATGATGCATTGCATTGTATGACTAACAGAAATACATTATCAAACAAATGATCGATAATAATAAGGCCGATGAAGGATGTACCCAAAATAATTGTTATGTAAACAATGATAAACTAAAGCGCTTAGCTGAGTCGCTTAGTGATAAAGACAATGTCTGAGTATAATATTTTTTTTATCCTTTACTCCTTTCCTCCTTGAACGAACGAATTAAAAATTATACATTTTAAATTAACTCGTCGAGTACCGGTTTTGTAGACA